CATCATAAAAGTTCATCTATCCATCATAAAAGTGCATCTATCCATCATAAAAGTGCATCTGTCCATCATAAAAGTGCATCTGTCCATCATAAAAGTGCATCTGTCCATCATAAAAGTGCATCTGTCCATCATAAAAGTGCATCTATCCATCATAAAAGTGCATCTATCCATCATAAAAGTGCATCTATCCATCATAAAAGTGCATCTGTCCATCATAAAAGTGCATCTATCCGTCATAAAAGTGCATCTATCTATCATAAAAGTGCATCTGTCCATCATATAAGTGCATCTATCCATCATAAAAGTTCATCTGTCAATCATAAAAGTGCTTCTCTCCATCATAAAAGTGCATCTATCCATGATAAAAGTGCATCTGTCCATCATAAAAGTGCATCTGTCCATCATAAAAGTGCATCTGTCCATCATAAAAGTGCATCTATCCATCATAAAAGTGCATCTGTCCATCATAAAAGTGCATCTGTCCATCATAAAAGTGCATCTATCCATCACATAAGTGCATCTGTCCATCATAAAAGTGCATCTGTCCATCATAAAAGTGCATCTATCCATCATAAAAGTGCATCTGTCCATCATAAAAGTGCATCTATCCATCATAAAAGTGCACTCCTCCCAGGCCCGAGTTTTTGCCTCCACAACCACCCGGGCTGGAGTCCGCTTGGCCTGCCGGTACCAGTCAGCTGCCTCAGGAGTTCCACAAGCCAGCCAGGCCCCATAGGCCTCCTTCTTCAGCTTGACGGCATACTTTACTTCCTGTGTCCACCACCGGGTTCGGGGATTGCCGCCTCGATAGGCACCGGAGACCTTACGGCTGCAACTCTGAGCAGCCGCTTCGACAATGTAGGTGGAGAACATGGTCCACTCGGACTCAATATCTACAGCCTCCCTCGGGATCTGGTCGAGGCTCATCCAGAGGTGGGAGTTGAAGATCTCTGCCAAACGTTTCCAGCAGACCCTTACAGTACGCTTGGGTCTGCCGAGTCTGTTTAGCTTCCTCTCCCGCCATCTGATCCAACTCACCACCAGGTTGTGATCTGTTGACAGCTCTGCCCCTCTCTTCACCCAAGTGTCCAAGACATATGGCTGCAGTCAGATGAAACGACCACAAGGTCGATCATCGACCTACGCCCTAGGGTGTTCAGGTGCTGCATGCACTGATGGACACCCTTTTGCTTGAAGATGGTGTTCGTTGTGGACAAACTGTGACTAGCACAGAAGTCCAATAACTGAACACTACTCGGGTTCAGGTCAGGGGGGCCATTCTGTCCCTAGAGCTAGTTTCCATGTCCAGGGATCGGGTTGTTGAGGCCCCCGCCTTCGACTGCCGCCCGATCCTCTCAGCACAGGCCCCTTACGGTCCCTCCTGAAGGTGGTGAGCCCACGGTAAGGAGGCCCCACGTTGCTTCTTCGGACTGAGCCCTGCCAGACACCGTGTGGGAGGCCCTGCCACCAGGCGCTCACATACTGGCTCCAAGGTGGGGCCCCGGCTGTCCTTGTTTTCACTTCACTCATAAGGTTTTTTGAACCGTTCTTGGTCTGACCCATCGCCTAGGACCGGTTTGCCTTGGGAGACCCTACCAGGGGCATATAGCCCCGGACAACATAGCTCATAGGGTCGTTCGGGTACTCAAACCCCTCCACCACGTTAAGGTGGCAGTGCAAGGAGGGGTTGATTAGAATCACTTTTTTTCTATTTCAGTTTATTCTAATGGGGATTTGTTATACCCTATATGAAGAGTTCAGATGCAAAAGCCTCTAAGTGCCATTTAAAATTTTCTTCTAAAACTATCATTTTTATCAAGCTTGTATATTTAAGTTCAGTAATTTCACTTAAATGGCAATGAAGATTACCTATTAATGGTCATTTAAGTGAAATTACTGAACTTAAATACACAAGCTTGATAAAAATGGTCATTCTAGAACCAAATTTCAAATGGCACTTAGAGGCTTTTGCATCTGAACTCTTCATATATACATTACACATACAGTATTTGAATATATGAGTGGTTTTCTGTTTTGTTTCAATAAATATAACACCAATATAATGGTTTGAATAGTATCTACTTATTATGGGAGATGTTCATTTGGACCAACATGTTTCAGGTGGGGATCATCAACATTTGCTTCTTAGACATCATAAAGACTGTAAAAGTACAAAAGTTAGAAAACATATATCAATAGGGTCCTAAGGGCAGGAGTTCCAGTGATCCAATGTCACAATTTATTTTTACATTTTTTGGTGTTCATTTGAGTGTTTATGCACTATACATCATCTAATCATGACTTGATGATGAATTTAGGGTCTCAGGTATATCTACCATAAGGGAGCGCGTCTTGTTCCACTCGTAGAGCCATGAATGTTTGTTGTTATTTTGTTCAGATTGTCCCACTCGAGATGAAACACATTCCCTTACCAGTAGTAATAATAATGAAAGTATAACTAATTAATTATTAAGCATAACATTTTTTTTTCAACTTAACAGAAATCTGGAGAGACCATTATCTGCCAGTTAATGTGGGCTTCCATAACGCTAAATGCTCTTCACCAAGAAAGACCTTTCTAATTGTGTGTTGGTGCATGGTGTGCTATGTATTTGTGTAGTTAGTTTAAAAATGTATGTTAAATAAACCTCACATTACCAGTGAATCCTAATTACATGATGTGATTTTTAATTAATGCATATTTTTGAACACGTTGTATCTTAAAATGTATTATTTAATTAAAATATCCATGTTATATTTTTAATGTGCAACAAGTGAACATTGGGAACAAGCTCAACATGTGCTCAACAATAATTTACATAGCCAGTTATGAAAAATGGAGGAGATTTATCAAATCGAAAACTAAAGGAGAAAAACAGACTGCCTATATGTGCTTTTTTGGATATCCAGTGTGGCAACCAATATAGCCAGAAAATACATACATGTGACAATATTTCAGGTGGGGATCATCAACATTTGCTTCTTAGACATCCTAAAGACTGTAAAAATACAAAAGTTAGAAAACATATATCAGAAGGGTCCATAGGGGAGGAGTTCCAGTGATCTAATGTCACCATTTTTTGACATTGTTTGGTGTTTATTTGAGTTTTTATGCACTATACATCATCTAATCAAGACAATCCTCATATCCATCAATTCCTCATGCAAAAACGAAGAGAAAATGGGGTAGATTGTGTCTGTAGGATGTATTGTTCAGATTCTATGTAGGTTTAAAGTTTTCATTTTCCGCAGCCAAAAATCAAGCACGGACACAAAAGATGATACAAAAAATCACATATGGGACAAAAATTTGTGCGGGGAACATCAAAATTCCTTTTCTAGACACCTTAAGGATTACAAAAATCTAGGTTAAAAAAATATATCTTTCGGGTGCAGGTGAACCCCCCCTTCCTACCCTACTAGTTAGTCTTTGCCCCGCGATGTATTTTTCACTGCGTGAGTGCATGAGAACATGATGTGCGTGACTCGTGAGACCCGCCTGGCTCGTGGCTCGTCACATACTAAAAAAGGCGGGTCTTTGCGAACGTCTCTATTAATGATAATGCATGGAATATAACAAGGGAAAGTGCCACTAAATAACAGGGCTAATTTGTGGGGGACGTTGCGTGGTAAGGCTTTGGTAATCAGATGGCTTGCAGTATCTGCTCCACAGCCAATCACGGGCCCCCTCCTTGCTTGGGCCCCGGGGCTTTAGCCCCGCCTAGCCCTATGGTTAATGCGGCCGTGGGCATAACTAAAACATTTCTATAAATTATAAACATATTTTTAGCATTTTCTTAATCTACATGACATTTCCAGTTCTAAAAATCACACTTATGAAACTAGGCTACTTCATACTGTATATCCAGGTTTCCCAAGGGTTTATTTAAAGGGGGAAAAATAGTTGTTTGGGGATGAAATATTGAGTCTTAGTTATGTTAATGCTTGTTTTGTCTTATTTAAATCATTCATGAAGTCCCCTTCAAGTTTGCCTTAGAACCACTGGTGTAAAATCATTAAAAATTGCTGGGTTACACTTTACTTGAAGGGGTGTGCATAAGACTGACATGACACCTTCATAATCATGCCATGACATATGTTATGAATATGAAGGAAGTTTTATGCATGTATGCGACAACTGTCATCAATTGTCATTTGCTCAGTTATGACATTTTTAATGCAAATATGACATTGTTTGAGATGTCTTTGTTATGACACCTTGACATAAACCAATCCATCATAACCTGTCAGTGTCTTTGTCATGACAACTTGACTTTACTAAGACAACACAACCTGTCATAAACATGACATAGAAGATTAATTATCAAACTTAAGAAGCTTTATTGGTCAACATTACATTAAACTGTCATGTGGTTGGTTTTGACATTGACTGTCATGAAGCCATTATAACTTTTTAATGACAAATTCAATTAGTACCACTGTAGTTGTTATAATGCTTCATGACAACCAATGTTGTTATGATGTATTGGTTTATGGCAAGAGACATCTTAAACAATGTCATTATTGAGCGAAAGACACTTAATGACAGTTGTCATACACATGCATAAACCCTACTTCATATTCAAGACATATGTCATGTCATGGTTATGAAGGTGTCATGTCAGTCTTATGCACACCCCTTCAAGTAAAGTGTTACCGAAATTTCTTTCACAAATGACTTCGAGATCCAGCCATAATTGTCAGAGCCCTGTTGAAGACCCCAACTAACATGGAGGTGAACTTGTGTTTTTACTTGTGTCTGAAGCAACAGATGGAACGAACTGGAGAAGGCGGAGCCTCAGAACCACACCGACCTATTATATCATCACCACAGACTAGCGGTAGTTTGAAGCCGTTTACCAGCCGGAGTGAACTTTTCTAGAAAGTTCACTTCGGCAAGTTGTTTCAAATTCGGTTTTGGCCTGATTTTGTTCAATATGACCTCACACCAGTTGGTTCTTCGATTTGTGTAAATAACCCAGAATGCTCTGAGGGACTACCTGCTCGAACGACTTGAGTCCCGCCTCCTTCCCCACTGCCGCCATGTCCTCCAGCACGGCTTTCTTCACGTCCTGCCATACAAAGGGGATGAAGAGACTCAGTTTAAAGCTATTGATATCTCATGCTAAGTTGAGAAAGTATAGTCTGCGCACGTGATCTGGCATGTTTAACTCTTTCCCCGCCCTTTTTCACTAAAATAATGGCCACCAGAATATGTTGTTGTATCTGAACATACAATATTTTGTACAAGAAAGAACATTTTGTTCAAAACTGAAATGAAACTGAGAAAAATGCGTTTTTGTCAAAGACTACATCCAGATACGATTCAGATCGAGTCCATCCACACCCCCAAAGCTTCACAGTCCAAGAACTCATTCTGGGTCGACATTTCATCCAGTAACATTAGGAAGTTTTGATTTATATGCGGTTTAATGATCTTGATATCTTACATGTGCGTCAGAAATGCTTTAATTGCATATTTCTGATCCTTCTCCACATGTGTTTTGATCCAGAGATTCAGTTCTCTTTCAGAAGATAGCTAACAGCGCCCCCTAGCGTATAACAGTGAAAACATTTCCATCAATGGCGGTGAAAGAGTTAATATAGTTGAAATGAGTTAAATTTGCATGTGTCCTGTATATGGCATTAAAGCTCACAGGATTTTGACAAAGCTCTTCATATGATCCGACTATCCCTCTTTCTTTGGCCCAGTCGACAAACACCTCCGGGTCTGGAACTACAACTCCTACAAGATAAGACTACAAACAGAGAAGGACGAGGACGCTGTCAGTTTCACTGCACTAAAAACAGAGAAGACAAAAACTGTTGTACTCAAATGCATGTATGCTTACTTGTAGACTATCTCCGTGCACGAAGACCTGCAGAACGGGAACACAGCGAGTGTAGACGTTCTCGATCTTCTCGGGAGCGATGTACTCTCCCTGGGACAGCTTAAAGATGTTCTTCTTCCGGTCCACGATGCGCAAAGTGCCATTCTGGGAGACCAAATATTCACACAGGACTTCATTCAGAACACTGCAAACAATTCATAAATGCAGATACACTGCATAAAAACAGCTGTAATGACTTAATCCTGGAGGGACTTCTTTTTTGGTGTAGTTTTTACAGTCTAAAATGGCCACAAATATAGCAAATTCAGTTTTGTACTGAAAAGCCACCCAATAATCATGATTTACTTCTATAAATAGTGTTAGTGACAGTGAGAGTGCAGTTATCTCGATATACTTGCAACACAGTGACATATAAAAATATTAAGTCATGTTTTTACAATGTTCTGATTGTCTATTGTTGTAAAGTTGTTTAATCAGTGATCGCACTCACTAGCAATATTTCAAAAGTCCATATCCGCTAAAATAATGTCATTATTAAATCTAATCTACTGGTGAAACAAGACATTATGGGGACTAGCAAATACCCAGACAGCAAACTGACATTGAATCAACGTGGAAACGACATCTCTCATGACATTGAAACAACGTTGATTTGCTCATCGAATTAACGTTGAACCAACGTCAGACGCGGCATTCTTCAAAGCTAAATGAAATCGAAAATTGGTTTGCTTTCATAACGTTGAAACAACGCGTTAATTTCAAGTTGATTTTCCGTTAGTTTTGAAAGAATGACGCGTCTGACGTTGGTTCAACGTTAATTCGATGAGCAAAACAATGTCAGATCAACGTTGTTTCGATGTCATATTTCCACGTTGATTCAATGTCAGTTTGCTATCTGGGTATTCACCCCATTTCATATACAGTAGTAGGTTGAACAGTACAGTAGGTAGACCATTTGTTAAACTGGTTGAATAATAATGGCCGATAATGTGGAGATTGCTTGATTTTCCTGGAAAAGTAGCAACAAATCCAATTTAAAGCGTCGACGACTCACCGGCAGCCACTGTCCCACGTCTCCGGTGTGAAGCCAGCCGTCAGCGTCCAGAGTCTCTCCTGTCCTCTCTTCATCCTTCAGATACCCTCGGAAGACACTGGGACCCCGGATACAGATCTGACATGTACAACAGATAATACATTTGTTTCAATTAGCGTTTGAGTCAAAAGTGTTCCCAGAAGACCTTGAAGTGTTGTTGTTACTGAGCAACAGTATTGTCAAAGGCACAAGTCACTTGCCACAATTTCTGGCCAAATGACCGACAACTGCAGGACAAGTGTCCACGTTGTATTGGGTTGATGGGTTCATTTCTCACTGTGATCAAGATACTGACCTCTCCTTCTCCGTTCTTGGCGTAGTAGTTCATGTCAGGGATGTCGGTCAGCTTCACCATAGCGCAGGGTAAAGGAGCGCCGACATGACCTGAAACACATCATGCTGTCCATTAAATAACAAAACAATACAATACAATACAATCCAGTTCAAAGGTTTGGATCAAAATAAAGGCGAAAAGATCGGTCATATATATATATATATATAAAAAAAAAAAAAAAGTTTAAGTTTTGCTCTGTTCTGTGATGAGCGTTCGTGACTCTACTGTTCAAACTCGCTCATCAAAATGAACAAATCTTTTTTCGAGTCATGACTCGAAGGGTCCTTGATAAGACCCTTTTTCATCGTCTGGAGTCGTTTAAAACCCTTTGAAGCTGCACTGAAACTCTCATTTGGACCTTCAACCGTTTGGTTCCCACTGAAGTCCATTACATGGAGAAAATCCTGGAATGTTTTCATCAAAAACCTTAATTTCTTTTCGACTGAAGAAAGAAAGACGTGGACATCTTGGATGACATGGGGGTGAGTAAATTATCAGCAAATGTTTTTTTCAAAAGTGAACTAACTCTTTAATAACAAGCTTTTTTTCATTGTTTGGTTGTGTACTTTATTTTATAGAAGGACAGTTGATGATGATATCTAACAATGCACGTACTTCAGAAAATATAACAAATAATGAAGGCTTAGCTACTTATTACAATAGTTCATGTTTTTCAGTCAGTAATTCATACTGTAACATTCGTTTGTTCGTTGTGTCAATTTGCAGTTTGAAATAACAAACCCGTTCACCCGAAGGAACACTCAATGCAGTGCTATTAGAAGACATCCTATCATAGCTTTTTGGTACATAACGGCTACCGTAGAAGCAACACGCATTTAAAAAAGCGAGGTGCTGGAGAGCACAATTCGTTTGGATGCAAAATACATTTTCACCGCTAGATGGGAAAAATTCCTACACATTGTCCCTTTAAATTCAGTATTGATATATATAAATATTCAGTTTTGTTTGTTGTTGTTTTTGGTTTTTTTTCTTGTTTCTTTTTGCACTGTATGACTTAACAAACATTTTGTCTGCCTTGTACTTTTGTGCCATTGCCTGAAATAAATAATAAAAAAAATTAACATTTAATTTAATATTCAACAATATTGATCTGCCTGCATTGACACCATTCTGAACTGAACTGAGCAGGACGATGACATCACGGCTTTCTCCAGAGCGCCTATATAAATAAATGTGACTCGACTTTACCATTTTTATTAGTTTATCCATTTATTTCAGTAACACTTTCCAATAGTTAACTACATTTTCTAAATACGTCTATCGATGTTTTACATCTACGTGATATGTGATGTTTTTTACATTTGATTACTTTCTGTTGATAAAGCCTTCTGTTTTTATAATTTGTTTCATAGAAATGCTGTATTTGTTATGCTCAAAGTTGTTCCTTATCACCTCTAAGAGAGGGAAAAGAATAGGTTGCTTGTCAATAAATAAAGAGTTGACATTTTCATTTTTTTTATTCCAAATTCCTGACCGGGGCACCCTCAGCGGATTCTCCTTTTCTCCTTTTCCATTTTCAAAATGGCCGGGTGCCGTCCCTGATTCCCATGTGATGTTGAACAGGTGTGTTAACCAGGAAAGCCTGACTACATTTAAGTACCCAAGTATCTCAGAGCAAATCTCGCCTCGCCACAACTAAATGGAAATGATTATATTAAATGAAGTGTAGTGTATGTGAAACATAGCAAAGTATGCAACAAAAAACACCATGTGACCTCACTCTGCTGCACGTTTCATTAAGAAATTAAACACAAACCTGCACTCCAGTCCCCCGGCATGGAGAAGGTGCATCCCGCTGTGCACTCGGTCTGCCCATAACCCTCAAAAATCTGGAATTACATTAAACAAAACATCAATATCATGAACAATACTGGTGAAAATATCCCCTCTACACAGAATCAGAACACTTTTATTTTAGTTTTATTCATATATTAATTCATTTATCTTTATTTTTTATTTATATTTACTTAGTTTACTTTTATTTATTTACTTACTTTTGTTTATTTATTTACTTACTTTACTTACTTATTTATTTACTTTTCTTTACTTACTTTTACTTTATTTTTTAGCCATTTATTTCAGTAACACCTTTCAATAAGGTTCCAATAGTTAACTACATTTTCTAACATTAACCATGAAAAATACGGACAAAAATTGCAAACGTTCTGTTAAAAGAACTAAGATTTTGACATCCTACATCTCCCTCTCTCAGTAATTTCTTATATATATATATATATATATATTCTTATATGTGGAGAGTTTTCATGGCATCTGTTTGTATATAGTTCAGTGAGCCTTGATTTGTATCTGGCATGTTAACTTAAAACAAAAAATATTGATTGCAAAAAAAAAAAAAAAAAAATGAAAAATACGACTATTTCTTAGTTTATATTATTTTCAGCATTTACTGATAAATTATTAAAATTAAAACATATAAAGCTATGTCTGTTAATATTTAATGAACCTGAGGTAACATGGACTAACAATAAACCATTGTATTTTATGAACGAATCTTTTTTTGTGTCATTTGGTTCATTCAATGATCGAATTGATTCGGAAAAAGATTCTTTCATTTTGATGAACGAGTTCGAACAGGAGAGTCACAAAGGCGAGCATTTGAGCTTATAAAACTTAAACTTTGTCATTTATTTATTAAATGAGCAATCGTTTCACTTGATAAGACCCTTATTCATCGTCTGGAATCATTTAAAGCCCTTTGAACAGTTTGCAGTTTGCACTGAAAGTCTCATTTGGACCTTGAACCGTTTGGTTCCCACTGAAGTCCATTATATGAAGAAAAATCCTGGAATGTTTTCATCAAAAACCTTAATTTCTTTTCGACTGAAGAAAGAAAGACATGGACATCAGCAAAAGTTTTTTTAAAGTGAACTACTCCTTTAAATGGTAGTGAGGACTCTCACCAGACAGCCGAGGGTGGCCCTGAGGAAGGAGAGGACGGTTGGAGAGATTGGAGCAGATGCAGTGAGGATGAACCGCAGGTTTCCACCCAGACTGGCCTACAGGAAGAGAGAGATGTCACAAATATAAACACATTATATCCACAAAGGGGCACTCCAAACTCTTTCCGTAGCTGAAGCGTTCGGTTATTGTGAAACGTACCTGTATCTTATTGAAGATCAGCCGGTCCCACAGGCTGTTGTTCCTCACGACTCCACTACTCAGTTCTGCCTGTTTCCTCCTCACGGCGTAGTGAAGAATGACTCTCCTCAACGGAGACGTGACCGAGCCCAAAATCTACACACACACACACACATTCATCAGTTTAAAGTGAGGGATTATTCTCCATTTGTGTCCAAGGACTCCACACTGCTGTGCAAAACACACTTTATCATAGATGCGGTTGAGTAATCGAGGGACCACGGGGAAGAAGGTGGGCTTCAGGGTCTTTATGTCATCCATCAGCAGAGAGATGTCCCCTTGGTAAAAGCCAACCCGTGCTCCGTGACAGAACATCGACACCTGACGGACAACAACACAACAATATAAAACAACAGCATCGTTTTTGTATTCAATTAAAGTCAATATGAAATCAAAGTTAAGTTCATTAGCATACATGTATACAATAGGTTTTAGAAAATAAAAAATAGCATCTATAAATCCCTGTTAATGTTCATTTATACACTAATGGTCAAAAGTTTCTTATGCTCACCATGGCTGCATTTATTTGACCACAGATACAGTAAAAACTATATTATTAGTAAAATATTATTACAATTTTAAAATAAATTATGCAAAGCTGAATTTTCAGCATCATTACTCCAGTCATTACTCCAGAGTCACATGATCCTTCAGAAATCACTCTAATGTGATGATTTTCTGCTCAAGAAATATTTCTGATTATTATCAATGTTGAAAACAGTTGTGCTGCTTGTCATACACTACACTACCATCCAAAAAGTAAGATTTAAACAAAAGAAAAGACAGAAATTGAACACTTGCTCTTCAGCAGGGATGCTATAAATTGATCAAAAGTGACAGTAAATATTTATACTGTTAAAGCTAGGGTATACAATTTCAAAGATTGTTCATTATTAATATCCTCGTTTAGATGCTGGTTATGGTTATATAGTACAATCCTAACAATATGAATAGAAAAAAGAATGAAAAAAATCCATTCACTCTATTGGCTGTACAGCCGCATAAAAATTGACCAATGTAAGCTGTGCGGCCGCACAGCTTATATTGGTCAACTGCTCTCATCCAATCACCAGCTCCACTTGAAACTCCGCCTGGCGCTCGCGTCTCCAACCCAATAACAATTACTGAAAACCTTAGCAATACTAGTAGTATTATAATGGTGGTGGGAAGTTTTGAACATTTTGTGTGTTGCTAATCTTGTGTTGACGTGAACTCAAACGTGACATACGGTACGTAGGGGATCAGGTAGCACAGAGAGGAGGGGTGTGTTTGTGGAGGGGCGGGATGAGTTTTTTTAAAACTTCCCTACCGTCTCGATCGATTTTTAACATCGTATACCATAGCTTTAAAAGAGATTTCTATTTAAAATTGATTTTTGTTAGAATTTTCTAATCATGAATAATCCTAATGTAATGATGCTGAAAATTCAGTTTTTTAAATTAGATTTTAAAATAATACAATAGAAAACAGCAATTTTAAATTGTAATAACATTTCACAATATTACAGTTTACACTATATTTTTGATTAAATAAATAGAAATTCTTTCAAAAACATATATAGTATATTTACATTACTACTAGTTAAAGGTTTTAGATATTATATTAATATTAATAACACTGTTTTGGATTTATAAACACCCTAAAACGTCATGTACACTCAATTAATGCCCCAAACCTTATTGTACATCATCAGAGGATTTTATTTTAAACACAAAATCACGTTTCATGACCTTCCAGATTAAACCAAGGAAAACCTTTTCAGATGACAATAATAATAATAATAAATAACAATAATAAAACAATTATTCTTGTATATTCAATCCAATCAGAAAATCAAATTATTATGATAATTATTATGATTATTTTGCTCCATTTCGAAACTGTGACTTTAAATGAGAGAGGGGTTACCTGGATCATTCGTTCAAACATGTGGGCGAGCGGCAGATAAGAGATGGACACGTCCTCTTGACGAATCACAAAGAAGCCCTGGTGTGTGTGCGTACAAAATGAAACGGATAAGAGAAAATGGAAAATAAATGTGGTGATTAGATTGAACTGGTTATCAATTCTGCACTTTCACTGGCGAGTATCATGAGCCGCAGTTCAATATTGAGAGAACACATGAAGTCCATTTCACCATTAGAGGAACAAAAAGGACTTGAAAGAGAAAGAGAGGCATCATGGGAAACTCAAAGTCTCTATTAAAGAAAAGAAAACAGAAGGATGAGGAACAGGACAGAAGATAAGATGAAAGCTACAGAGAGAGGATGTTACGGAGAGTTGAAGGATAAGAAAGCAGACACGAGCTCAGATCTCTCTAACTGACCTCCAGGATCTTGATGACAGAGGAGGTGTTGGAGGCGATGTTGCCGTGAGTTATCATGGCTCCTTTAGGCTTTCCTACATCAGAGAAAACAAACACATCTAAACCTGATATACCCAAACATCATGGCTAGACCTGCACGATTCTGGTTAACATCTATTTATTTAATTTTTTTTCAAATAGAACAGATTCTGAACAAACAAACTAAACAAAATAACATGTAATTTACTAGAGGTTCTTACAAAAATTTTCATTGCTGATTAAAACCAAATGTTAAATTAATCTGTATGATTAAAAAAAAAACGGTTAGAATGAAAGATTCATTGACTCACTCATAAATCCCTCACTTGTTTCATTACTGGATGATTCTGCGTTTTTGAATGAATCTCTTGAATAAATGATTCTGCGTTTTTGAATGAATCTCTTGATTAAAATGATTCTGCGTTTTTGAATGAATCTCTTGAATGAATGATTCTCCGTTTTTGAATGAATCTCTTGAATTAATGATTCAGCGTTTTTGAATGAATCTCTTGAATAAATGATTCTGCATGTTTGAATGAATCTCTTGAATTAATGATTCAGCGTTTTTCAATGAATCTCTTGAATAAATGATTCAGCATTTTTGAATGAATCTCTTGAATAAATTATTCTGCGTTTTTGAACGAATCTCTTGAATAAATGATTCTGCGTTTTTGAATGAATCTCTTGAATAAATGATTGTGTGTTTTTGAATGAATCTCTTGAATAAATGATTCTTGTGTTTCAAAAAGAATGAATTTCTTGAATAAATGATTCTGCGTTTTTGAATGAATCTCTTGAATAAATGATTCTGCATGTTTGAATGAATCTCTTGAATTAATGATTCAACGTTTTTCCATGAATCTCTTGAATAAATGATTCTGCGCTTTTGAATGAATCTCTTGAATAAATGATTCTTGTGTTTCAAAAAGAATGAATTTCTTGAATAAATGATTCTGCGTTTTTGAATGAATCTCTTGAATTAATGATTCTGCGTTTTTGAACGAATCTCTTGAATAAATGATTCTGCGTTTTTGAATGAATCTCTTGAATAAATGATTCTGTGCTTTTGAATGAATCTCTTGAATAAATGATTCTTGTGTTTCAAAAAGAATGAATTTCTTGAATAAATGAATCTGCGTTTTTGAATGAATCTCTTAAATTCATGATTCAGCGTTTTTAAAAGAATCTCTTGAATAAATGATTCTGCGTTTTTGAATGAATCTCTTGAATGAATGATTCAGTGTTTTTGAATTAATCTCTTGAATGAATGATTCTGCATATATGAGTGATTTTGTCAAATGTTTAATAGTCACATGCGAATCGTTGTCATTTAGGAATGAGATTGTGATCTTTTAACAATTAATCATGCGACTCTAATCATGGTCACGTTATGGTATTAATGAGTTTCAATGTTACCACACAATAAACTGAACACATGTGAAATTTGGTTATATATTACAACAGATCATAAAATGAATGCGATAATGTGATCAGGGTGTTTGCTGGTCGGTACCTGTGGTGCCACTGGTGAAACACACAACAGCCAGATCTTCAGGTTTAGGAGGCTGTAGCAATACAAGAACAAAGAGACATCATAAAACTGATGTGATGTGTGTGAATGTCCCTCACAAGCGTACAGATGCATGTCTCTGTGTGTGTCTCTGCAGCAACAGCACGCATAGCAAATCTAGTCAGCCAAGACCAAATACATTCATACGATCACATCCATCAACATGCTGAAACTACTCAACTAGCAAAAAGGAGAAAAACAAATCAAGGAGCTCTTACCACAGGAGACCTTAGGTTTTCTCTTCCCAGATCCTGCAATACACACACACACACACTTAGATCAACCACAGAGCTCTTTTCAAAGTGGAAAATAAAACAAAGATTGTTTGAGTATGCTTTACAAACAAATACTATTTCAGTCTTTCTACTTTGAAATGCCATTTTGCGTTTTAATCATATTGACCAGCAAATAGATTGTAAAGTATAAAAATTATTTTTTACAGATTATTTTACGATAATCGGAGCATTATTAAGATTGTCGGAAGGGGTGAATCGGGGCTAAAATCGGGCTAATAATCCTGCCGTGTGAACCAGCCTTATCCGCGCTGAAGCTGAGACCGTTCGACGTGTACGTTACACGTCACATCCTGACGTCACGTGTTTTTACGGGATGTGTGTGATTCACAGACACACGGGACTGACGGGACTCACAGATTCCGGGAAATCACTCGCACATTGTCCGTGTATTTTTCCGGAATCTCTAATAGTCTTAAAGGCCTATTTAATTGTGAGAATCAGAGAGAGGGTGGAAATTGGCCATGAAAAAAAGTAAATAACAACAAATTGTTCTTAAATGTAAAACAAAAACTGCTCAGTTATTATAACTTGATATTTTGTATCATGTCAGTTGCATTAAATACTATTCCTAACCATAATCTGTGAGAGCTGAACTATCTCCACGCCGCACTTTCTTCCTCTCTCCAGCAGGGCGGCGCTGAAGGGGTTAAAGAGCACCAGGCAGGACAGCGTGGGGGTCACGGAGTTCTCCTTGTTCTTCAATAGAGATTCTGCTTTATCCTCCTTATCACAGATCACCATAGAGATCTCCGCTGGAGAGAGAGACAGAGATGAAGCTCTGATGTAAATTTGTTGCATCGTTTGTTGAGCTATTATAAGAACGAGGTCGTGTGCCTGTCTCACTCACCCAGGTTAAGGATGTGAACCATGGCTTCTAATCCAAGTGTATCGTAGAGAGGCACGAGAGCCATGGAGAACGTGTAGCAGGCCAGCTCTGTAATGACCCACTGCAGCCAGCAGAGGGAGACAAGCAAAGCAGGAACATGAGAAACACACAGGTCTGATCCACCCAGAGAAACATCTCTGTTAGCGTTCGGATGAATGTGACTTGGCTCACAGCCGTTCACTGATTTAACCGATTCGGCAAAATGCATCCATTTCGCTTTTTAATTAATGAAAACAGAAGTACAAATTACATTATCAGCATAACAATTTGAGAGAAAAGTTTAACTGAAAAATGTCCCTGAAAATCAATATGCAATTTTGCAAAACCTGATGACAATGTTATCCAGCATGAACTTAGAATGATCCAAAGATCAAATCAAGAAAATGCTATTTATTTATTTTTTTTAACCCTTCATCAGCTTTTTGGGAGATTTTAAAGGGATACTCCACTTTTTTGGGGGAAATAGGCTCATTTTACCACACTCCCAGAGTTAAACAGTTGAGTTTTACCGTTTTCAAATTCATTCAGCCGATTTTCTGATATTTAGAAGAATATCAGTAACCAGACCGTTTCTGGTCTCATTGACTTCCATAGTAGGATAAAAATATACTATGGAAGTCAATGAGACCAGAAACTGTCTGGTTACGGACATTCTTCTAAATATCAGAAAATCGGCTGAATACATTCAAAAACGGTAAAACCCAACTTTTTAACTCTGGGGGAGTGGTAAAATGAGCCTATTTCCCAAAAAAAGTGGAGTATCCCTTTAAGGGGGGGAAACTATACCACAGTTAAATAATCTAAAATATAAAAACTAAATATTAAGACCCATTTTTACAAAATTTGGTTAAACTTAAAATCATTTCCAAGTGTATCAACAAAATAAAAATGTTCTTAGAGTAGAAATAGAAATACTTCCAAAGACCTCTGTGGTATGCGAGGCTTTTCTGAACATTTGTACAAAGGATCATGATTAACGTCACAAAATTGTGACCTAGAAATTTTTTAAGGTCTAAGTAAAAAAAAAAAAAAAAATGTTAAATGATTTCAAGGTTCCTTCAAGGCATTTTTTCATCACACACGCGGGGCGGCACGAGCAGTTAAAAAACTGTTTTCTATTATCTATCATTTCACTGTGTGGGGAATTGTCAAACTGCTTGCTGAGAAGGTGGTGTGTGTGAGAAGGGGAGGGGGACGCGGGGGACAGCTCACCTCGGTCTCTCCCAAATGGAAAGGACAAGAGGGGGGACGGGGACAGGGGATCCACTGTATAGAGCAATACTCTAATGCAATTAGAGGGCTAAAGTCAGCCAAATCTCGTCTTTCTTCCAAATAACGCACATTTCATTCATAATATTATATTATAAATACAGGCCTTTAGTTCCTGCACATTTCTGTTTTTCTGAATTCTGTGAAATGGCTAATAAAAATAGGCAATACGAAACGATTATGTGGTCACCAAGGTGAATTGGTTTAGTCTTGACTTGTGGCCGTGACTCATGAGGGACAGTGTTGTGGGGAGATGGGAAATCTGTTGATTGTCGAGTGCCAAATAAACACAGAGATGGACAGGAAAAGGTCAAAGCCATCAGGTGCCCAATTTAGAAAAAAAGGAAGAGGAGAAACGAGCAAAAGATAAAGGTATGCAACTATGTTCTCTCGGTATGATTACGGTATCCATGTCATGAATGAAGGGCTAATGTTAATTGTTGGTAACTTACGTTTGTTAGCCTTTTTGCTATGATGCTTGCTATGCTTATACAACAATTTGGTTTTAAAGGTTGTATCAGTGATTTTCAGGCCCAAAAATAAATTATCACATTCATCTAATCTTTCCTAGCGATCCGCTAGCTGCGCGTCAAAAAAACGTGTCTCTGTAGGCAGCCTAGACACAAAAACAAATGGGTACAACCACCACTCAAAACCAAAATAAACAGAGTTCCATCCAATCACCGACAGGGGCGGGTTTTGTGAGGTTTTGCGTTTGTGCGGTTGGGTTGGCACTAGGGTTGCCACCTATGTCTGATAAAAAAACAAGGGGGAATTTTCAATTTTTCTTTTGTTGTTTGATTCATATTAACCGCACATAGCAGCAGGTTCTGTGTATTACACAGATCTAATACACACATGCCAGTTTATGTGAACTTTGTGTGTGTTTTGACATACCCTTGTGTGCATTTGACAGTTTAAGCTTAGTTTAATATCGCGGGACACTGTCTGACAGGCAGTTTTTTGAGCGTGTGCTTCAGATGTGTGCGACCCTATATCAAAAGTTAAAACGCACGGCATTGCCGATAATAAACTTTTTATGATGATGAAGAACTGCAATGTCAGGCGAGTGTGACTGTGATAGAGATAATGATGTTTAGTTTTTGTCACTGTATCAGAGATGCGAGACGTAAAGGCTCTGTCTTCTTCTGGATAGGGGCGGGGAGCGGCAGCTCATTTACATTTAAAGATTCGTGAAAACAGCATGTTTTTACTTGATGTAATAAATCACCTATGGGGTATTTTGAGCTAAAACTTCAGACACATTCTGAGGACACCTGAGACTTATATTACATCTGGTAAAAAGGGTCTCCTTCAGTGGGGGTTGGTCAATAGGGGGCGCTAGGGCATTCAAATTAAGAAAAAAAATGATGTTTATACAATGGACAAGTCGCTTTTCAAATAAAATATGAGACACTTTATGTACATCTTTCTTGATGATGATGTTTTATGTAAGCTACTATATTGAAATACACATTACAGTGTCCCTTCAATTGGACATACATTCAGTCATGTCTGGCAACTTGACAAATGTGTTATCAATATCCTTCAAATTAAGATTAAAAAAAATCATGGTTTAAATTTATTTTGGAAATCACATTTTTTTTAAAATGATATTGTGCTTTATTAATTTAATTTATGGAAATCAATTTATGGGCTCTATGCACGGCGTTATTTCCGGTGAAGGATTAAGGATGCTCGATAACTTCCGCCGATCGTAGAGTCCAATGCAATTCCGAGAATTTATATTGAATTTTATACTCCATGGTTATAATAAAGAAACGTTAGTCACAAAAACAGATAAAACAGACACCCCTCGTTGTGTTTATGCTTCTTTTTAAAATTATATTAAATAAACATAACTATATATAAAATTACATCTAAACGCATGTACGTTTCGTTTCAAAGACGGGAGGACAGTAAATTGAAAACTCTGCCATAATCCCGTTTTCCTCTGTTCTCCTCCGCTTAAATCTCCACAACCGTCAAATGCGGAACTTATGCGTGCATATAGCCCATTGAACAACTTTTACAATCTTTAAGGATTTGCTATCCTGTGGCTCCCTCTAGTGGGCAACATTAGTTGTATGGCCTTCATCTCTGAATTCCCTTGAAATATTTTTTTCTGGAATAATTAAAACATTTTTAAGGATTACTTTATTACTGATAATAATACACCCATGTTAAACTCAAATTTACTGATTCATGGTACCTTAAGTTATTCCATGCTTTAATAGTTGAATTTCCAACTTCCATTTTTGTAGCAAAGCAGTGATGATCCATTATTATATCACTTTTTAAATGGTTATTTAACAATTGCATTCAGTCCTGCATTAAAGTGTGATTCACCCACCTAACCTCCCTCCAAACAATTTTAGCACCACTGGTCCCCTTTTTCTACTGTTTTTACTGTATTTTGGATCAAATAAAAGCAGTCTAAGTGAGTAAAAGACACTTTTTTGTAAAACATAAAAAAAAAAAAAAAAATCGCAATGACTCCAAACTTTTGACCAGTAGTGTTAATCTTTTGAATAATGTGCACTGATGAATTGTTCACACTAATGATTTACCTCTGGTCTGTTTTGGGCATAGATGCCCACAAACTGCTGAGGGTTTGGCTTGCAGCCTTTCGCCAGCAAACCTGATCCCAACACCTGTGCCCGTTCTGCGACCTGTAACAAACCATTTTAGGTTATTACATGCTTATTACACAGTAGTAAATGCGTTATAACATGCATTGCCCTCACCTCGGTGTAAGAAATCCACTGATAGGGCTCTCTGGGTTTCCTGAAGCCAAGACATGGGCCGTCACCTGCACAGCACACAGAATACTCTTATTTAGTTACTATACGACGATATTGCATGACTATTAGCTACTGAACTGTATGGCTGCTTTCCTATGTTTCTCTACATTGTACATCACACCTTACTTACCGCTCGTCTGCGGGTCTAAAATTAATAGCCTTTTAGCTTCAATCCAGATGCTTTCGAATCCGAACACAAAAACACTTCAAACACAAGCAATCTATTTCACAATCCCTAGCTACATGTGATGAAAGCATTATCGACCCAAGAAAGCCTTGCAGAGCTCTTCAGCAAATGAAAAGAAGCCGCCATTGAATTCGATGTTCAACAGATTTCACCACTACAGAAATTGCAAAGTGTTTTTCTGTACAATTACATAAACTGTTCTCGGGCTCTTGAAAGAGGTCAGGAGACACCGTGGTTGTGTTTGCTTGTACGTCACACACACACACCTGCTATCCGCAGTCCTCTCTGGAACATGTCGTATGCCGTCTTTGTGTCCTCGTAGTAGAACTCCAGCAGATTGTCATCCTTTAGTAAAGCAGAGCGTCTGCAGCTCTGGTCTCCCTGGAAACATAAGCATGTGTTAATAAAGCAGAAATCATTCAAACTGATATGCAAAGCTATTGATCTAGTTCAGTATACTGTAAAATGCATATGCAAAATCGTGTGCAGTGAGCTGGCCAAACATACAGTGTGCGATACTCACCTTGACCTTCAATTTCCAATGCGATGAATAAAGCAGAAGCAATGTGAAATATGCCGACCAGCTTTACTAGCTCATCTAGACCAGCTAAAACCAGCTTGACCAGTAAGAACAGTTAAAACCAGAGAAGACCAGCAAACCAGTTTAGGCTGATTTTAGCATGCTTTTTCAGCAGGATTGACTTATTATTAAATTTTTTTGTGTGCCAAAAGTTCACACGGAAATGAGGAATTATGTGAAAACAACATTTCTGCATATGGTTACACACACTGTATTTAGACATTAAGAGTATGCAGCAAGCAATTCATCAATGTCAGTATTATTTTATTATTACATATTCTAGAGTTACTTAATTTGTTGAATTAGTTTCAGTGTTTATTTTAATTTTAGTTTGAAGTTTTATTAATGTTGTTATTAGGGATGGGCAACAATTAATCGCGATTAATCGCATCCAAAATAAAAGTTTGTGTTTACATAATATATGTGTGTATAATTAATTTGTATATATAAATACTCACACATGTATGTGCATATTTAAGAAAAATGTGTTATTAATATATCAAATATTTATATTTATATATATATTTATATATATATATATATATATATATATATATATATAATATTAATTATGTGTAAATATATATAAAGTATATACATGCAAATATTTCTTAAATATATACGTACGCATGTGTGTGTATTTATATATACAAATTAATTATACACACTACACACACATATATTATGTAAACACAAACTTTTATTGTGGATGTGATTAATCGCGATTAATCGTTGCCCATCCCTAGTTGTTATGCTTTTTTAAATGCGTTTTATATATATATATATATATATATATTTTTTTTTTTTTTTTTTTTTTTAAATTTTAATACTTAAAATCATTTTTTCAGATAGTTGGCAACATTTCTATTTTATTTGATTTGATCTGTATTTCACCTGTACAGGGATGGACTGAGCCTGCAGGTCACATGGAGGCTGGATTGCACGAGGTCTGGTCACCAGCCAGTAGGTTGTGAGAGAGGCTAACGCTCCTAACCCGATGATGGAGGATGGAGAGAGGGACAGAGAGGAAAGAGAGAAGGACGGGGGGAGAGATGGAAGGAGGGTCTTCAGATTGTCCATTTCAGACTTCCCATCTCCTCCGCTGAAACGCAGGGAACGTAACCACTCCTGAAACTGCATAGCTGTGAGAGACACACAGAAGAGGACAATTATTCACATTCTATCATATTTCACATACACACATATACACACACACACACAATTTACATTTTTGGGTGAACAATCCCTTTAATGTCTATAGACACATGCTATAGTGTGTAAAAGTGTATATTTAAGAGTCTATTTACTGGTGTCAAATATGCTGATTTTGACTTTTAATAGCAGCTGTAAAAATGTTCCAGTTCGCTGTACGCAGATGCAGTTGGATGATCTTAGAAAAATGGCACACCAGAAATTATAGTTCATTAATCTTAACTGTATGCTGAAATGATTTGGTGCGTTAATATTTCCTTTAAAGTTAATGTGCAGTGACTCCAAATTATGACCGACTTTCATTGATTTCTCGTGAAAAGCTCTGAGAACAAAACCTAAATGAAAACCACTCGGCCCTGAGGGAAGCCAACAAATGTTTGGGCCCCATTTGAATGCCAGGAGGAAGTAATGATGATTGGCCGACACACAACAGGCGCTCGGGGTAACTTTCGGACATTTTCTAGCAGGCAGCCAAAACACAAACACAACCAGGTGTGAATGTGTTTCAGGAGGACACACGGAGGGACAGGTGGAGATGAAGAGAGCTGCATGTGTGAGAGATGACAGGTCGAAAATGAATTTTAATGACATTGGTGAAGTGAGCAGAGTCGGGATTGGTGATTTGGTGGTGAGATGGGGTGACTGGGAGGCCCGAGTGTGAATGAGTGTGATCGCGTTTGCCAATGAGACGATCTGTTAAGATCACATGAGACGACCCAAACACGGTCATATCCCGGGACTCCATTCACAGCCTCACATAAACCTCTCTCTCCCTCTCTCTCACCCAAATAAACTCCTTCATCTCACCCCCTCTTTTCTCTAACCTCTCACCCACTTCCTCCCCCCATTAAAGAACGGGAGAATAAAGGGTGATGTCATCACCCCTCGCCCTGCATTGGTATTCCCACAGTGAGGGAAAATGCCCCTTTCCCTCTCTTTCACTCTTGAATGCCACCAAAGCAAGTGCCATGATGTTTGCCTCCAGAATACTTAACACTGGGACACCGAAGCCACAACTAAATGTTTAGTATGGGACAGGTTTGTAATGGACGATATCGATATCTAGACATCTGATGGGTGTATACTGTATACACAATACAACTTTCTAACGACTAATGAGACAGAATATAAATCAATATATAACTAATGTTTACAATAATAGTATAATAATATGGACTTAAAATTCCAATATCTTTGTACTCAAGTCTTCTTTCCTGGTAAAAAAATAAAGGTTATTACTCATATTTTATAAACTCATATTTTACTCCATAACCATTATTTATAAAGTATTTAGGTAACACTTTATTTTGATAGTCCACTTTAGACATTCAACTAACTATATAAGTAACTTTGCCGCTACATGTCAACTAACTGTCATTAGAGTATTAGTAGACTGTCAGCTTAATATCTGCTAACACTTTATTTTGTTGGTCCCCCAACAGACATTCAACTGACTATAAGTAACTTAGCAACTACAAGTCAACTTGTTCTCCTAACCTGAACCCTGAATGTCTAAAGTGACTATTGAAATAAAGAGTAACCAGTATTTATATATAAGTGGCATTATACTAATTGTCTGTCATATTTAAAGAGTAAGTGCCTAATTTGGCAATTTATTATTCTATAATAAATATTTAACATTTAAATATTTAATTTCTACAGTGTAGATTATGAAATTTGTCTTTAAAATAATTTAAATGAAAAATGCATTTCAAACAGAATGGAATTCCAAAAGACACGCATTCTTAATAAAAAATGAAAAAAAAAAATCAAATCTCTCTTTCATATTCATATATCTGATGTGATACATATACAACACTGATCAAAATTCTGGGGTCAGTAAGATTTTTTTTATGTTTTATTTGAGCAAAGTTACAATTAAAATAACTAAAATGTCATTTTTATTATTTAACATTTGTGTCACATGATAATTCAGAAATTATTCTAATATGCTGATTTGCTCCTCAAGAAAGACTTGTGGTACTTAATGTTTGTGGGAAACGTGAAAAAAAAAATCAGGCAAATTAAGATAACACCACACATTTTAAATGTATTTGAAATGATTTGTGATCAATGTAATGCATCATTGCTGAATAAAATTATTAAAGATTTGAACAGTAGTGTATCATATAGCATGTTCATGTTAAACATGAGATTATTTGGATTATTAACAAGCAAATTTGTTTATGTGACCATGCAACCTTGCAAAAAGTAAAAATTAAAAAAATAAAAACACACTTTCTATATTCCACAGGACTTTGTAAACGTACATGTGGTCGCTTTAGAGGCAAGGGTTAAAGCAATGCAACTGCAAACAGCGACATCCCTTTTCATATGACCATCTCTGCACATCCCTCTCTCTGTCACAGGTCCACAAAAGCTGGAGATAAATGGATTTTGCAGAGATGACATCTGAAAATAATTACGCGTCAGAGATGAGGACAGACCTCTCTCTTTCTCCCCCTCCCTCCCTCATTCGTAACGGCCATTGTTGGAGGTAGACAGGCACTATTGTGTGTTTCTGGCACTCACTTGGGAACTTAAACAGAACAAAGAGGAGAGAGAGTGACAGAGGCTATTACTCAAACTGGTGCTAAATGAACTAAAGCAAATTCAAAAGAAAGGCCAACATATTTACAACCTGAAGAAAACTCAAGCTCTTAGACATCCACACGGTAGATATCAACAACTTACAAAGAGCAGATATGGGGAGACAAATGTGGGATTTTAAATAATATGTAATTAAAGCAATGTTTTGGTTTCATCAAAAACACAAAAATTCGACTTGCACCCGAGTTTGTGTAAGAAACAAGAAACGCAGATTTGAATCCCGCTCTGAGCGGAGTAGAACTGGAGGGGTTACAGTGGTGCCGTGACCCGGGAGGGAGTGAGCAAGTTAGAGCTAGTAAACCTCACCCCCTTGGCCTCAAGAATCACACAAGAAACTGATGCTGTGGTCAGGCCATGGCCTTTAGCATACTTGTTAGTGTGCCTGTCTCCCATGGCGGAAACGCCAGTCTGAACGATGCTCGGAGCGAGTACAAATGGAGGGGTTACAGTGGAAAGTAACCATAGCAATGTCTTGAGGCTGTGAGACATGTTTTCATTTCACTGTGCTGCTTTTCCATTGTTTTTCAATGTAAACATGCACTTGATGGACGTGTCCGCATCTCGCTCTGCTGTGTTTTAAATGCTCATACCTGCTTCGCCAGGAGCAATGTCCACTTTTTATAGGCATCTTTGGGCATGTTATTAGTTCAGCTGAACTGTGTACACAGTATCATAGTTCTTTGAGCTGAGAAAAGTCAGCTGTTTAAGCAGTCAGGTAAGGGGTGGCACTGGCCACCGCATAGCTATGCACCTGCTTGAGACAAAAAGTTCCAGAAAATATGGGTTGTGGAAATGAGATGTGGCCTTGAGACTGTACCTAACACTAGAGTTGTCAAAAAGTACCAAATCGAGACTGAAATCTTAAAATTGTGACGCTTTTAGCTAGGGATGGCCCGATACCGATACTGGCATCGGGGATCGGGTCGATACTGTCCTCATATACTCGTACTCGTACTCGTAAAAATTCGCCGATACCACGCACCGATACCACGTACTTTTTGCGACAACGTACATTTTGGAGAAACTGGCGCGAGTCCTTGTCGAGGTGAACTGATGAACTAGGAAAGTATAATGTCAGCAGTTTGGGATCATTTTAAGATAAGGGATGATGACAACAGCAAGGCAGACTGTAAGTTATGTTCAGCAAAGGTGTCGAGAGGAGGGAAAGAAAGTACATCGTTTAACACCAGCAATCTAATTAAACATCTGAAGACGCATCATAGCGCTGAATACTCACAGTTTCGGAAAGCTAAACCTACTCCGCAGCAGCCAACACTAACACAGGTTTTACAGAAGCGCGAGAAGATGTCCAGAGATAATCCGCGGGCACAAAAAATAACAGAGGGAATTGCATACTTTATTGCACTTGATGACCAGCCATTGTCGGCTGTTGAAAATGCAGGATTTCGACATCTTCTTGGCATCCTGGAGCCGCGATACGAAATTCCCAGTCGACATTACATTACAGACGCTATGCTACCGAAAGTGTTTCATGAGGTGAAAAAGCACGTCAGTGGCCTGTTGTGTGACGTTTCGGCCTTCAGTTTTACAACAGATATTTGGTCAAGCAGTGTCTGCCCAATGTCTCTACTAAGTTTAACTGCGCAGTGGATTGATGACGACTTTACTCTTCGCCACGCCACCTTACAAGCAAAGCCGTTCCGGGGCTCGCACACCAGCCAAGCCATAGCCGGTGCATTCGATACGATGCTTCAGACCTGGGGCATTCCGAAAACCTCTGTTCACGTTGTGCTACGAGACAACGCTAAAAATATGATTAAGGGCATGAGTGATGCTGGACTCCCCAGTCTTCCTTGTGCCGCTCACACTCTCCAGCTGGTGGTCAACGAGGGCATTTTGTCACAGAGAAGTGTTGCGGATGCATTGGCTATCGGACGCAAAATAGTTGGCCATTTTAAGCATTCTCCTCTAGCCTACTCCTGCCTCGAAGACATTCAGTTAGAGATCGGTCAGCCTGCAAAACGACTACAGCAGGACGTCCAGACACGCTGGAACAGTACATTTTACATGATCCAGTCTCTGATTGAGCAGAAACGGGCTCTAGGAATCTATGTGTCCGAGAAAGAACTCCCTGATAATCTCACGGCTCACCAGTGGGCACTGCTGGAGAAGATTGTTACTGTTCTGGGTCCGTTTGAGGAGTTAACGAGAAAAATTAGCTCTTATGATGCTATGGCAGCAGATTTGATTCCTGCTGTCACTGTACTGCAGAGATTTCTGTCTAGAGAGACCGACGATGACCAGGGCATCAAAACTATGAAAGGGACCTTAGCTGCAGCTGTCAGGAGGCGATTTTCTG